TTCCGTAGACTCCAGAATTTCAAAATAGTTACATTATACTCTGTCACTGCAATTTTTTTCTAGATAGGGAAATTAATAGGGCTTCCTATTCCACCATCTTCCCAGAATCCCCTTTAGGATTTTTGGTTTTTTCCTTCTACTTGACATTTTCATAGTCAATAGACTTTGTACTTTTTGTTAATTTTCTCTCAAATGATATAAATCTAGCATTTATCCAGCCATACTGTCATGCTTGTCTATTAGCCAATAGTTCACAGTTTTTAACTTGCTGGATAGGTTAGCACAATCTAGAATCATGACACACACATTTTGTTACTTTTTTATGCAGTTCAAACCCAATACTTTTAACTTTCATGATCTAACCCAGAGTGAAAAAGTCCGTATGTCTCATCTGTCTCCTTTATTTCCAGTTCTCAGTAGAAAGAAAATGTTTATAATAAATGAGAGACAAAAATTATTTTGGATGCCCCAAAATTTAACAAGAAAAATTTATTTAACAAATGGTAGCATCATTTAATAGCTCACTTAGCTATGAATGAGTAGTCACTACCACATAAACATTACATGTAATTGCTTGTCATTCCCAAGATCCTCTGAGGTCTAACAGTGAGCTGGATCCTGTATATTGACAAACATAGCTGAATGCTTGCTTTTTTTTTACGTTTTCATCAATAATTTTCAGTCGAACCCTATGATTACATGCTTGCCAGCTGTCCCCCAAAATAAGTGGTCTATAGCCTTGTTAGTAGTTCTTTACAATGATACTTATCATCGACTGGACATACTTCTACATTTCAATTTCAAGATCTCTAAGTGGAATTTTAAACATAATTTTTTTTTTCATTTTCAGTAATGATACAGAACAGATGTTCACCATCCAAAGTATGGCAGGCTTTTATATTTTTAATACTAACTTATTTTAGCCATGTGTATATATATGCATAGGTAAGAGTCATTAAACTTTATTGACATATAAAAATAGGAAAAATGCACAAAAGTAAAGGTACAGCTCCACAGTTTACTAAAAAGCAAACACTTTTGAAATGACATTTAAGTAAAAAAAAATAGCTAGCACAATGGAAATTTGCTTTTTGTTCTCCTAATCAGTACCTACCTTTCTGTTCCCCAAATCTACCAGGTATACAGTATACATTTTTTGTGTATGGCATTTTTTGCTCAATGTTATGTTTGCCAAACTCATTCACTGCTGTGTAGTGTTTCATCGTGTCATTATACCACCATGTATTTATACATTCCATTGTTGACAGACACTTATGTTAGAGTTCTTGGCTCTATGAGTAATGTTGAAATGGATAAACTATTATTTATGTCTCTCATTCACACAGGCATGCATTTCTACTTGTTACATAGCTACAATTGGTATAATACTGAATAAAATGTGCTTATATTCTACTTTAATATGTAATAATATTATTTCAGGGTGCTTGTAAAATTGCTCTCTAGCAAGCATTGTGTGTGACAGACGTATTACTCTACATTCTCACCAACACTTGGTATTATTAGTCTTTTTAATATTAGCTGTTCTTGTGAGCATGTAGCTGTGTCACATTGTAGCTTTAATTTGCATTTCCTTGATTACTTGTAAAATTGAGTACTTCACATATTTTTGAGCAATTTAGCTATCCTTTTTCTGTGAAGTATCCTTTCAGGGCTAATGCCTAATTATATTGGGTATTCTGGCTTTTTCTTATTGGTTTATGTGACATGGAACCTTTGTTATAATGGTTAATATTGGTAAGAGCTGAAGCACTATATTCCTTTCAAGTTTCTGATGTGAATGATTTGTCCATTGCTTTTCTTTAAATCATTTTGCTAGGGTTTATCAATTTCATTGTCTTTCAAATAATCAACTTTTACCTTTAATCTTTGTTGCTATTCTCTATTGAATAATTTTTTTCAGTTAATTTTTTTCTCTTTTATTTCCTTCTTTATTGAGGGGTAATTAGCTGTTGTTTTGTTAATTTGTAAAAAACAAGATCATTAGCTTTTAGCCTTTCTCATTTTCTAACATATGCATTGAAAAGCTATAAATTTCACTGTAAAACCCACACATTTTGATACAATTTCATAATTTTATCATTATAATTTCTTATTTCCATTGTGATTTTTTTCTGTGAGCTACTGGCTATTTAAAAGTTATTTCTTAATTACTACATAGTGGGCTTTTCTAACTATCTTTGTGATTGATGTCTAGATTAACTATTACTGTGGGGCCCAAAGAACATATTCCACATATTACAACTTTTCAAATACTTCGAGACTTCCTTTATGGTCCAATTTCTAGTTAATTTAGGTAAATGTTTTAAATGCTCTTAAAAATAATGTATATTTTTTAAGTTATTGAATTTAATAATCTACATAGATCACTTAGGTAAATTTTGTTAATCAGCTTGTTCATATCTTTTATACCCTTACTGAAGTTTTATTCAGTTTGTTCATTTTATACATTAATACGTGTTTTAAAATCTCCCATGATAGCTGTGAATATGTATGTAACTCCTTTAAGTTCTATTTTTGTTGTCTACATTTTGAGGCCATGTTATGAGGTTCATACACACATAGAATTGTCACATCTTCCTGGTGCATTGAAGTTTTTCATCGGAAATTGACCTTTTTATTATTTGGTAATGGTATGGCTGATATTAATATAACTCAGTATAGCTTTCTTTTAGCTATGTTTGCATGGTATATCTCTTGCATTCTTTTACTCTTGGTAGCCTCATGTTCTTACAAGCATTATATAACTAGGCTAAAAATCTGTATCTTTAAGTTGAATATAGTTTATTTACATTTGCAGTAATTCTGTTTTAAATTTTAAATGTCCCATATTATTTACTATTTGCCTCTCCTGTCCTAGATTCTCTTTTCTCTTCATTCTTGCCTCGTAAATTGATTTAAAAAAATTATTCTATCTTCCCACATATTTCAAAGCATGCATAATTTGCTATTTTGAAATACTTATTGTAAAAATTTTAGAAAATATACAAAGTGCAGCAAAATTTTATCACAGAGTATCATTTAATAATTATATTTCTTTCCAGTCACTTCTTTAAGGTGTGTACATAATTTTATATCCTTTCTTGAAAAGTATATATAATAATTTTTAACGTAGGTATCTTTTTTCCAAAACACCATTTAATAGTGAAATGCTAATGCATTATAAATGGCATTACAGTGTATATGTAAAATAATATATGTAAAATTATATGTAATATATACATTACATATATACATATTGTATATGTAACTGTAAAACATTTTTACATATATACAATTTTACATATTTTAAGTCTCTTTGTATTATTAAACAAAAGATTTCACAGGTCTTGGCCTATTATATTTCCTCAGAATTTGCAGGAATTATTTTAAACATTATACATTTAAATATTTATCAGATTCATAATTTTATGTATTATAATTAAAATTCTCATTATAAAGTTTAATCATGGATACAATTAAGTGAAAGTCCCAAACTTATAATTAGTTATTATTAATTCTGTGCATGTACATGTATACAATCAGATAATATTTTGTCATTCTTGGTATTCTATCAGATATCTGTTTAAACTTATGAATCACAATGTACAAAACATCAAATCTGATACACTTCAAACATTCTATCCTGTTTTTACGCAATCAGCCAATGGGGTGGTCATATCTGCAAAAGTAAAAGCCAACTAGGTGAAGTGGAAAAAGTCTGATTGTTGATTCAATAACAGGATTTCCAAAATAATGTTTGGATAATGGAATTGTTTGATCTGGTCATTATTTCTAACAGGTAGTTTTAACATTACCAAGCATACCTGTGCTTTGCCTTACCTTAACTAATCAGGCTGATCAGCAGCCAGTTGTTCGTCCCACAATATTCATTGCTGTTTGACAAAATGGGACAGCCACCTTACATCCTTCTGGATGTGATAACTCAATGCACACATTCTCGCCTTTTGTCCATACTTGTGTTCCTGAGATGATCACTTACCCCAAGACCGGTTCAATTAGGATCAAGAAGAATCCACTCCATTCTAGGACTTTTGATTGTGTTGTTGGGGGAAGTAAACTCTTCCACTTGTCTGCTCTGTGGTGTTATGATCCCAAAGCTTCAAGGGACCACAAAAACGGAGTTTAAAACTGAAACTGTGAAAGTAGAAATCAGGCTGGACGATGGGAAGAGACATCATGTCCTGAAGGCATCACCTGAGCCCTGAATCCAGTTATACCTTAAGATGATGTATTCCTACTCTTTTAGTAAATGAGTCCACTCCTAATCTTTTAGTACATGAGTCAGTAAACACTTTTCTTTTCCAGTAGATCAATTTGAGTTAGACTTTCTGTCACTCACTACTGAAAGTCCTAACTTCAAGGATCCTACACTTTCCTTCATAGCACTGGTCCCATGTGATGTTACTATTACTTCAGTGCCAACCTCTGTCAGTAGACTATAGTCTGTATGCAAACAGCACTAGTATCTCATTTGTTCAGAGCTGCATTTCCAATACCTAGAACGATTCTGAGCCATTACTGGTACCTGATAATATTGAATGACTGAATAAATAAACCAAGCATTTTCTTAGCCATGTTCCCAAAGGTATTAATACATGAACACTATGGAGCTATTTGTATGTGCATGAAAGTTGTTTCGAGATGAAAATACATACATATAGATGTATATATAGTTGTGCGCTTAAATTTGTATATAGTAGTCATTTCCACAGAATCAAAGATTGCCCGTGATCTCTGACATGAATGAAAACAATGCCTCTTTCTTTGCTCTGTGAACTTGGAAAAACTATTTCTTTGAGCCTCTGTTTGCTTACCAGTGAAAAGTGCTTACCTCAAGGTAGATATTTGTAAACAGTAGTCTCTCGGTAAACAGAATTATTACTAGTACAAGGAACTAACTAGATAACCAGAAGAGGAGAGAGAACATATAGTCAGTTGAAAACCAAAGTGCTTGCGTGGACAAAAGCAAAGGCCAGGGCTGCATAACACTGACATTTTTATTAGAATTCATTTGTAACAAATGGAACTTGTGTCAGCAAAGAACTGATTTTCATACAGACTTCTTTCGCCACCAATGTAACGAAGTAAGAAAATAAAAAGCACGCCTTTCATTCTGTAAAACATTTACGCGTACTACTAATTAGAGGTAATTGTATTTTTTTAACAAGCCATTTTACAAGTTATTTTTTTAAATTTTTCAGTCTATGCATCCAAAACGAGAGCAAAGAACACAACTGTTATTATCTTTGTAAAGACACTCCAAGCTGGGATGGCAAAGCCACATAACGGATGGATAGAATGGATCTGTAGCCTTCTGATCTCTGCTGGAGTATCAGGGCACCCATAAACCCAAAAGGAACCAAAACCCAAAAAGAAAAACAAAAAGGGAATTAAAAACAAAAGGAAGGACTTAAACAAAGCAAAACCGAAAATAAACAGGAAAGAAAAAAAAATACGTGCATTACTGCAGACTTTTTTCCCTTCCTGTTTCTATGTTGTGTTATTTACATACACACAAATGAATTTCCGAAGCAGTTTCTTACAGATGGGTTCAAGTAATATCATTATTGGGTGTAGAATCAATAGGGCAGTGCATAGTACAAAGGTATAGAAAGTGCAAAGTTCCCTAGAGGCCCTTCCCTCCCCTGGCTGTCCTCGCCGTTTTCTAACCATGCAAATCATTTTTAAAAAAGAGCTAAAATAAAGTTCTGTACAAATCACTTTTTATATATTTTGATTTTTTTTTTACCATTGTAACTAATTACAAAATTATACATAACTACACGTACATAGGTAAATAATAGCACCGTACTGGTTATGATGATGAAAATAACTGGAAACTCGAAAGCTTGTGGTAATGGCAGATAAAGATGTTTTACCTGGGAAATTAAAACTTGGATGGTTGTACAGAAAAGCACAGAGTGGAATGCACATCAATGACAGTAAGGGAGTTAGTTCTAGGAACAGCTCCTGAACAGTAAGATTCCCGCAATAGTCTCCGCCTCGTTCGTCTATGGTATGCATCCCATTCATTTTCTTCTTCTGATTATTGTCATCTTTCCCTTTGCCAAATGGGCAGTTTTTGTTTCAGGGAGAGAAGCTGCTCATTGGCTAATCATTCTGGTGTGCAATGCTCCATCGGATTCTACATGTCCAACAAGGCATGTCTGGATGATGCAATGTCTATCTGACCCCCTTTGTTCAACTAAAAGAAAATTATAGCACTGAGTAATCTGGCACTTGGATAAATCTCCAAAAAGATACAAACGAAAAGAAAATGATAACAGACCCACATAGTGCACATTCTTCTCTGGTTCTGATGTAGGTTAGAGAGTCTCATTCTGAGGTAGCCTTCTAGATACTTTTTTTTAAGTATTATATATATTTTCTTTTTTTTCTTTTTCTTTGTTTTTTACAAAAGTGCTCAAATACAATGCTTGCAAGTGTTTGGTCTCTTGGATTTCATTCTGCTAGCAATGGGAAAATGTGGAAAACAAAAATCCTTCCATGCAGAACATCCATGAAGCTAAAATTAAACCAAAGCAGTATACTCATACCAAAACTCTTTAAGAGTTCCTTGGATATTTTGAGGATTATTTAAAATCGTGTAAAATGTGGCAAACTCATGCCATCATCCATGACTTCCTATAGAATGTTGGAAGAATTGGGGGTTTTATATATATATATTATATATATATATTTATTTATATAATATATATATATATTTTTCCCCTTTTAGAAAAATTCTAATGGAATATCAAATATATTCCAAAGTTGCCAATGATATTTGTTACTAAAATAAGTTTGGTGCAGTTACTGCATGTTCCAGAGCAGATTTGGAAGGGAATATAAATAAAACAAGTAGCTTTTTCTGATGTTGACGATTATAAAAGGAAGAAGGGCCCTGATTATCCAAGTGCTTTGGGCTGGTACAATCACTAACATCCCCGACTTGGCTGAAAACTAGGAATGCATATTATTCAAAGAGTTTTTGTACATGTGGTAAACAGATAATGCTTTAATAGAAAGAGTAACAGATACGAACAGTGAATGGAAATACGAACCAAAAGCTAAAAAGAAATGCTATTAAAATAGGCATCAATTATAAGGCACTCTAAATGCAAAACTAAAACCAAAACGAAACAAGGTACAGCACTTCCCAGGAATGCTGTATGCCACAAAATGTTTCTGACTGAACAGAGTAACATGAATTTGGCTTTGCCCCTGTTACATATCATAAATGCAAATTTCATAGCACATACTATAGACAATATACGATTGAATACACTTTTTTTAAACAACTCGATAGCTGATATATTACAACATTCTCCCCTCCTAAAGGGATATGCACTGACCTTTCCCACATGCACACCTCTTAGCTATTTAATAATTTTTATTGCACTAGAGTGTTAGAAATATTGAACTTTGTTGGAAGCCTGACAAAACAGAATTAGTGAATATGATTGGGTAGGTGGGGGGACATTGGGTAGGAAATTAGGGGGTGAGGTTTGACAATCACTGATGTGCATTCCTCATTTCCCTTTAAAAAATTAAAGTTTTGTGATATTAAGAAATACCAATATGTCAAAAAATTAAGAATAAATGGAAAGAGATGTTTACAATAGCTTTTCTACATTTAAAAAAACTAAATCATGGAAGAACTGATAGCTATATCTATTTTTTGTGTGGACACACTGTCTATATATACATAGACACCCTTGTAAAATTTGGATATATATGTATATATGTTAGCAGCAACTTTATACTTTGCGCCTCCCTGTTGATTCCAAAATCAAAACAAAATAATAATTATCTTTGATAATTTGAAGAGAATGGGTACTTTCTCACCAATCAAAACTGAACAGAAGTGTAAAATTAATATATCTGACGAGACTGATACTGTAGATTGAGTATTGCACAAAAATGTGCAAATTTTCAAATTATTTGATATTTCTACAGCAAGATATTACAGATAACAGTTCTACAGCTTAAAAAAACCTACGATTTGGAAATAAAAAAATGAAGAGTTATGTAACTTTTTTAAAATTCACTTTATCGAATGATACATTTTGTTAAAAAAAAGTTTACACAGTTAGAAATGAAGCACAGGTCAGCAGTATCTTTACAATACTAAAAAACTAAATCAAGGACTTTCTTTTTAAACATTCCCCCCTCCCTTTCCCCCTAAAATGTTATTATGAGCAGTATGGTGGGAAGGGGTGATGTCAAAGCAGAGTCCATTTCGCTGTGAGAAGCCACACCAGCACACATCTTGGGCTGAATTGCAGCATTCTGGCAATTTCTCCTTGCACCTTTCAAACAATCCTGAATAAGATGGTGGTTCTTTGCTGTGATTTCTTCTTCCCTTGATTTTGAATCCTTGAGGTATCTGTAAATAAAATCCTTCAGATGCCTCATCAGTCAGGATTCTCCATTATTTTTCAGGTTAGATTATTAAACTGTGAATTCTTGGTCCACCTGGAATAATTTGTTTTTAATTTGTTTTGTGTGTAATAGTCCCACTAAGTAGTTGTTAGCTAGAAGTTAAGAAGGACTTCTCAAGTGCCCTGTATGGCTCAGAAGAGACTCCATGGATATTGAAGGGCCTGTAGTAAAAATCCAGAATGGGTCAGGGGTTTCTACGTTGCATAGTGATCAAAGCTGCCCAGGTACTCTAGTGCGGCTCGATAGCAAAACTGATACTGATCCTGCAGGAGACAACGAATGAGGAGAAACAAAGGAAGGGACCATGAGCATATTTTAATAGAAAAATAAAAATCAATATTGGATAACAAAATTACATCTATATGGGGCAAAATCATACTTTTGTCAATTGATCTAATCCAATGACCAATTGGTTATAGTGAACGAAGAAAAATTAGCCACATGGAGTGTTTATTCACTTTGCCAATCAATTTGACTAAAATGATCTCCCAATTCCAAGCAGTGGCAGGTCAGGTGTACATTGCCTTCCCAGACAAGTGTTTTCCAAGTAGTATCAAACAATTACCACCAATTGAGCACATACACTTCTTACATGCCTTACAAACAGATAATGATGAAAGTTATCCTTTACAATTATCTGCTTATTTGTGATAATGAATTCTCAGTTTAAATATATGAGAGGCTGATACACAAACTGTCCTGAGAAAAATCTGAATTTACTTATCTTCTGAGCTACTGCCAACAAAATTTGAATTTAAAAAAAATTATGTTTGGATAGTAGAGCTTGCAATGAGAATAACTCACAGTCATTTCAGCTACCTTTTGGCTGGCTCTCTCACTTATATATGATGTTCACATACAGCCAGAAGGTAGCTGGTGTGGCACAACAGGCACACAAATCCATTTACACAGGGTACTGGACTTCCAAGCTTTTCATCCCTGAAAATGGCTTCACAAGATTGGCTGCCCACATCAAAAAATACCTGTAAATTCGGTCCAATTCTGTGTGATTGCTAGCTGTCTGTTATAGAAAGGCACACACTAAAATAAAACGGTATGAAACATGGCTTTTTTCAGACAACGAAGAACACTATCATATTGGAATAAATTGAAGCATTGTTGGAGAGATGGAAAAATTACAATTTACAGATCTCTATAGGGATGAGAAAAAGTAGGATTTTCCCCATAAAAGAAATCTATTTTCAGTGGCCAACCAGGCTGAAAGTAGACAGTTTCTATTTTGCTTAAATGTGCATTTTTCTATAATAAAAATGGTAATGCAAAATAAATGGTGTTTACTTTCCTATCTTGTCACAGTCAGTTGCTTGGCTAAGTGTTCACGCTTTTTAAATGTCCAATTTCCCTCTGTAACCCCCAAGACCCATTAAGTTTGTCAGGCTGACAGAATGTTTTGAGTATTGCAAGCCACACACTTGTAGTACTTTGAAATCAGTCTGAAAGATACTGTGGATGATGAATTGAGGAACACATGTAAGTTGTATAATTTGGTGGTCTTTTGCAGAACATAAACTATCAGTAATATCATCTTTAGAAATGAATGCTCAATAGACCAGACTGGCTATATCATAAACTCTGATTATTAAGAGAAATATCCAAATTGCCATATTAATTATTGGAATAGGAAATGTGGGGCTAATATAATATCTCTAGGCTTATCCAGAATCAAAATGTTTTGAATGGCCATTGTTAAGACATGAAATATAGAACAACTGATACCTCTGTAGGCACAAAGAGGGAGAATGGAGAAGTTAAATGGGCTGAGATTATTTTATGTACTAAGCATTATGCTTTCTCTCTATATATAATATATACTATAGGAAAATGAATATAACGAATTTTATGAAATTGCCATTTTATTGGTCAAAAATGGTCCAGTAGTGAAATTTAACATAGCTCAATGTAACATATAATCGCACGTAATTTCTATAGCAACACTAAAACACTGATAATCTCACCCCATTTAAGAAGGGGGAAAATGAGGTTCAAAATTATTAAACGGTTTGATGCTTTCCCCACAGTATTATGTGTGTGGTGTTGAGAGAGTCTGGACTCCAGGAGGTCCAGGCTAGCAAAACGTAGGCTCTTGAGATGTGAAAAATGCAATGGATTTTCTCACCTCTGTCTGTACCATAGCTGGTCGTTGTGTTCTTAACATTTTGACGGTCTGGAAGATATCTACGACTCCTTCATATCTCATTCTTTCCAAAACAATGCTTAATGTTATGAAGACTCCAGTTCTTCCAACACCCGCGCTGCCACAATAACAAAGGCAATGTTACTGGGTGAGAGGCTCACAGTCTTGGCACATTTGCTTGGGTGTGGACATACTTCTACCAGCTTCCACACTCCATATTTCTTACAGCCATGTTCAGGAAAACGTGGTATCGCATTCAGTTACTCTTGGGATACTGAGTTGTAACAGCATGTGATAACGAGGGTGAAGTAATTAGGAGTAAGTCTAATAAAAGGTCTTTTCAATGGGGATTTATACCATTTTAGAAAGACCAAGGAAACATAACAAATGAAAAGAAGGGTATAAATAACATATAGGTTTATATTACTCATGGAGATTCTGAGATTTAGAACTTGCCTACTTAATATTTTAAAGTATGAAATAATTCAGAATAAGGTGAAGTGAATTTGGCATCTTCAACTTTTCTAGTACATTGTTCACATTTTACAGTTACTTAAAATACATATGCAATGCCCCATAACTTAAACGTATTTGTCTATAACTAGTCAAATGTTTACACTGGTTTTATTATGAGAAAAGAGATGCTATAACAGGGTATATATGTGATTTTCACTTAGTCTTCAGGAGGGTTTATGACTATCCTGTAAGTGTATGTACACATGAAATAAATACTGTGTTGTTTTCTTATTTCTTGAGACTTAGAACTTTCAACAGATTCTCACAGGGGTCTCTAATCTTCAAAAAAAAATGGTTAAGAGCCACTGATCTCTAAACTTACCTACTATTTTTACATGATCAGCAACTAAAACCCCAGGATCCTTTCTACCACGTTAGAAAGTTTTTGAGTTTCTCTCTGTTGTCTTCATTGTTTTAAGATAATTCAAGAATCTTCATGGTAGCAAGAAAGAAAACTAATTCATAGCTCTTCTGCACTTCTTAAGTGGGAAAGCACTGGGAAGTTTAGGTAATGAGGGAAACAGTGAATAATGAAAAATCTGTACATTTTTGGATCCTAATTAAACAGCATGTGTAACACTTGGGCACGGGCTGTAGAAAATAGATGGATTCATTTACTGGAGGATGTAGCTGACAGGCATATATAAATAGTGTGTCCCTTTATAAATGGGTTTCTACAGTCTAAACAGAAATGTTAAGTGAGGTTTGAAACTCCATGGGGAGTCAGTCTTTAAGAAGTGATTGAAGATGTCTAGCAGCAGTGAAGCCTTCTCTTAAGATGAAGCAGATGACCTTGAAGGTCCCTTTTAACCTTGAAAGTCTCTCTTAGTTGTGAGAAACTGAGATTTATTTTCTTTTTGTTGAATGGTCTAGGTACTCCAGAGTCTCTCTTACCTTGATTTGATAACTTGAATGTAACAAAAACATTGGGTTTCTGTCTTTCTACTAAGTATTTTCAAAAAAAGAACAGACATTGGACTTACAACTTTTACATTTATTGATTTTATCATCTTAGTTTAATAAGTTACAAAAAAGAAAAGTAGTATTTTCAGAACATTCCTAGATAAAATATATAGAAGTCTTCTATGTGTGTGTATATCTATATATAAGATATACGCATCACAATTTCGTTAGCATTATACTAAAGGAATATTAAAATTATTTTGTGACAAAAACACTGAGAACAGGCACACATAACATTTATGTACCTATACATATAAGGATGCTTAAAGCTAAGAAGATGTATTAAACTAAAGATATTCTTTTCCTTAGAGGTTATTTTAGAAAAGTTGAAATTAGCAGCATATGGGCAAATTATGAGTGAAGTTAAACATCCAGGTAATTCAATACCAATATATACCATCTACACTGTTTTATTGTGCTATGCTTTATTGAGTTTTGCAGATATTTTGTTTAACAAATTGAATGTCTATGTCAATCTTGCATTGAACAAGTATATTGGTGCCATTTTTCCACCAGCACATATTCGGTTTGTGTCTCTGTGTAGCATTTTGGTTATTTTTGCAATATTTCAAATTTTTTCATAGTATTATATGTTAGTGATCTGTGATCGCTGATCTTTGATGTTACTAGTGCAATTGGTTTGGGGTGCCATGAACCATGACCGTAAGACACTGAACGCTTGATAAATGTGTGTGTTATGACTGCTCCACCAAGCAGCAGTCTCCCCATCTGTCTTTTTCTCCTCAGGCTTCCCTATTTCTTGAGACACAACAATACTGAAATTAGGCTAGTTAATAACCCTACAATGGCCTCTAAGTGTTCAAGTGAAAGGGACAGTTACCTAAATCACAAGCTAGAAATAATTAAGCTTAAAGCCCAGGTATGTTGAAAGCTAGGCCTCTTGCACCAAACAGCCTAGTTGTGAATGCAAAGTTCCTGAAGGAAATTAAAAGTGCTACTCCAGTGCACACATGAATGATAAGGAAAGTAGAACAGCTTTACTGCTGATAAGAAGAAAGTTTTAAAGGTCTGGATAGAAGATCAAACCATTTACAACATTCCCTTAAATCAAAGCCTAGGCCAGAGCAAGGCCCTAACTCTCTTCAAAGGCTGAGAGGTAAGGAGGCTGCAGAAGAAAAGTTTGAAGTTAGCAGAGGTTTGCTTATGAGGTTTAAGGAAGGAAGCCAACCCCATAACATAAAAGTGCAAGGTGAAGCAAAAAGTGCTGTTGCAGAAGCTGTAGCAAGTTATCCAGAAGATCTAGCTAAGATCACTGAATGAGGGTGGCTACATTAAAAAACAGATCTTCAGTGTAGACAAACATCATTATATTGGAAGAAGTTGTCATCTAAGACTGATAGCTACAGAGGCGTCAATGCCTAACTTCAAAGAACAGGCTGACTTGTTAGGGGCTCATGCAGCTGGTGACATTAAGCTGAAGCCAAAGCTCATTTACCATTTCAAAAATCCTAGGGCTCTGAAGAATTACACTAAATACACTCAAGTGAAAGGAAGAGTTAAACATCTCTCACTTTAAGTCAAAAGCTTGAAATAATCAAGTTTTAGTAAGGAAGGCACACCAAACATCAAGACAGGCTGAAAGCTCGACCTCTTGTATAGCCCAGTTCTATAAATGGAACAAGAAAGCATGGATGACAACACATCTGTTTACAGCATCGTTTACTGAATATTTTAAGGCCACTCTTGAGACCTACTGTGCAGAATAAAAGATTCTTTTCAAGATAATACTGCTCATTGACAATATACCTTGTCACCCAAGAGCTCTGATGGAATGTACAAGGAGATTAATGTTTTCATGCCTGTGAATACAATATTCATTCTGCAGCCCAATGGACCAAGGAGGAATTTCAACTTTCAAGTTTTATTATTTAAGAACTATATTTTGTAAGGCTATACATTCTATAGATAGTGATTCTCTGGTAGGTCTGGGCAAAGTAAATCGAACATTTCCTGGAAATAATTCACCATTCTATGCCATTAAAAACATTTGTGATTCATGGGAGAAGATCAAATTATCAACATTAACAGGAGTTTGGAAGAAGTTGACTCTGATCATCACGGATGACTTTGAGGGGTTCAAGACTTCAGTGAAGGAAGAAATTGCAAAAATGGTGGAATAGCAAGATAACTAGAACTAGAAGTGGAGCTGGGAGATGTGACTGAATTGCTGCAATCTCATGATAAAACCTGAATACATGAGGAGTTGCTTCTTATGGATGAGCAAAGAAAATGGTTTCTCAAGATGGAATGTACTCATGAAGATGCTGTGAACACTGTGAAAATGACAAAAGATTTAGAATAGTAGATAAACAAAGTTAATTGAAAAGCAGCAGGGTTGCAGAGGAATGACTCCAATTTTGAAAGAAGTTCTACTGAGAGTAAAATGCTATCAAGCAGCATTGCATGGTGCAGAGAAGACTCTTGATAAAGAGTTACTTGATGTGCCAAACTTCATTATTATCTTCTTTTAAGAAATTGCTACAGCCACCTCACCTTTCAGAAACCACCACTCCTTGATTAGTCAGCAGCCATCAATGTCAAGGCAAGACCCTCTACCAGCAAAAAGATTACAACTTACCGGAGGCTTAGATGATGGTTAGCATTTTTTTTTTTTTTTAATTTAAGTTCTGGGGTAGATGAGAAAAATGTGCTGGTTTGTTACATAGGTATACATGTGCCATAGTGGTTTACTACACCCATGAACCCACCATCTACATTAGGTATTTCTTCTGATGCTATCCCTCCCTCAGCCCCCTACCCCCTGAAAGGCCCTGGTGTGTGATGTTTGTTTCCCTGCATCCATGTGTTCTCACTGTTCAACTCCCACTTATGAGTGAGAACATGTGGTGTTTGGTTTTCTGTTCCTGTGTTAGTTTGCTGAGAATGATGGTTTACCAGTTTCATCCATGTGCCTGCAAAGGACATGAACTCATCCTTTTTTATGGCTGCATAGTATTCCATGGTATATATGTGCCACATTTACTTTATCATTGATGAGCATTTGGGTTGGTCCCAAGTCTTCACTATTGTGAGCAGTGTTACATTAACATATGTGTGTATGTGTCTTTATAGTAGAATGATTTATAATCCTTTGGGTATATATTCAGTAATGGGATTGCTGGGTCAAATGGTATTTCTGGTTCTAGATCCTTGAGGAATCACCAAACTATCTTCCACAATCGTTGAACGAATTTACACTCCCACTAACAAACAGTGTAAAGTGTTCCTATTTCTCCACATCCTCCCCAGCAACTGTTGTTTCCAGACTTTTTAATGATTGCCATTCTAACTGGCATAAGATAGTATCTCATTGTGGTTTTGATTTGCATTTCTCTAACGACCAATGATGGTGAGCAGTTTTTCATATGTTTGTCGGCCGCATAAATGTCTTCTTTTGAGAAGTGTCTGTTCATATCCTTTGCCTACTTGTCGATAGGGTTGTTGTAGATTCTGGATGTTAGCCCTTTATCAGATGGATAGATTGCAAAAATTTCCTCCCATTTTGTAGGTTGCCTGTTCACTCTGATGGTAGTTTTTGGTTCTGCAGAAGTTCTTTAATTAGATCCCATTTGTCAATTTTGGCTTTGGTTGCCATTGCTTTTGGTGTTTTAGTCCTCA